GCGCTGACCACGTGTCCACAGGGCTCTTGCATTTCTACGACTTTGCGGAGACCCAGCCTGGCATGGGACACCCGGGAATGCTTGCGCGGGAGGGCGGCCCGAGGCGCACGTTAACTGGGGGGCTCTGGCAGGGGCATCCTGGTTCCTTGAGCTTCTTGATGCCAGAGGCTCTTAACACCCCTCCTCCCCTTTCTCATCCCTCCAGGAAAAGACTGCAGTTAGATTGTCAGAAAAGAGAAGCCATGTTCCGAAGACCTGTGTTACAGGTAGGTGCACGTCCTCATTCACTCCGGTTTCTGTTACCCTCGCGTTTGACTTCAGAGCCTCCAGACTTTTGAGCCCGCCCGCCCAGGTGCCCCCATTAGGCCTGGGTGGTTGGCGACCAGTTTGCCTCGATAAGTAACACCCATCAAAGCAAAACAAACACATTAAAGGCTCTTCACATGGGTGATGGGGATCAGTTGCGTCAGTTTACTTAGTTTCGTTTTCCTTAACTTAAACAAAAGCCACTGAACTCATTGCCATCGAGTTGATGCCCATCATAGAGACTCGGGACAGGGTTGAGCCATCTCTGTGAGTTTCCAAAAAACTCGTTACTGGAGTAGAAAGCGCCATCTTTCTCCCTCGGAGGTGCTGGCGGTTTTGAACTATAGACCTTGTGGATCGCAGCCCCTTGCGTAATCAGGGGCCCTCAAGGTCTTAAGTAACTTGACGTCTGTGAGTCTTTGCCCAGCGTCGTACCCCTGTCGTGGACCGCCCCTTTCACATATCCACACACTGGGTCATGGGAAGGCTACCCTTGAGCAAGGCTGACCTGCCTGGCCTCCTGCTGAGACTAGACCAGAATCTCTCCACAGCCTACTCATTCCCTGCCCTGCCCTGTCTGTTCCTGAGCTCTGCCCTCCATTCCTGAGTCCCCACTGGATCCCGCCTATCCCCTGAGGACGCTCCTGAGCTCTGCCCTCTATTCCTGAGTCCCCACTGGATCCCGCCCATCTCCTGAGGACACTTCCATCCTGTGCTAAGGGGCCTGGGAACATTCCTACTGCCTGCATTGCAGGGAGTGGGCATTCAAACCATACAGAAAAAGTTTAAAGTCTAAGTAAAAAAAAAAAAAAAAATCCAAGTTAAATATCCTTTCTCTCTTTCTGCTCCACCACTAACTTGATTTTGACTTGCCTAACATGATGGCTGTTGTTGCTGGACCAGCGAGCACTCGCGTGCAGACAGTCCTTGGAGCGCTTGGCTCCGCTGCATGCCATCATGCCCGTGCTGATGTGTTTAACCTCGCCTTTGCCCAAAGGCTTAAAGGTGGGGTTCCATAGCCGGCAGCCTCTTGGGATTGGGTGGATCGATGATTGCTTGGTGGACTTGAGCCTTGGGCTTGACTAGGACTGCTGCTTGATCTCCGAGCTCAGTGAGATGCCCAGTGGGGTGTGCACAGATCCTGGACGAGGCCCTGGTCCTTTGAAGTTTCCCTGAGAGTGTCCTTGGGGCTGTCCGGGCAGGACATCGTGGGAAGGAGCACGTGTGGAGGGAGCCCCTGCCTGCGGGCTGCGCAAGGTGGGTCTCTAACACTGGTCTTCCCTGAGTCAAAGCCTTGTTGCTCCTCTGCCCCTCAGGTGCTTCATCAGTGTGTGAGACGGGAGTCTGAGACAGCTAGCAGTTTGGTTCTCGAAAGATGTAAGTAGCCAGTTCTCGTACTTAACAAACGTTGGCCGTCGTTGACTCCCTCTCTTGGGTCAGCTCCAACTCACAGCAGATCAGAACCCCGTCCAGCCGGGCACCGGCCTCACAGTGGTTATATCAGAGCCCCTGTTGCAGCCGCCATGTCCATCCATCTCTTGGAGGGCCGTCCTCTCTCTCACTGTCATGCTGGCGGCTGACTGGCTCGTCTTGGCCCCCTTCCCATCCCTGCTCCCTGGGTCACAGTTGGGGTCTGAGTTTTCTAAGGCTGCACTGTCGCTGCTGGTCTGGGTGAGGGCAAGTCTGGAAGTAGTTTTCTCATGCATTTATAAAGCTGTCCACCCCTCAGACTGGTGGGTTTAACTACATAGGCTGACGGGCGGAAAAAATGCCTTAAATAAGGATTTAAGATACAGTCAAAAAGCATAAAGATCCTCTGGCCCCAGGCTGTTTTTTTCTTTTATTATTTTATCTTTTTAAAGTCATCTTATTGGGGGCTTGTACAATTCTTATCACAATCCATACATCCATCCATTGTGTCAAGCACATCTGTACATTTGTTACCCCCATTCTCAAAACATTTGCTTTCTACTTGAGCCTTTGGTATCAGCTCCTCATTTTTTCCCCCTTTGTCCCCACTCTCCCTCCCTCACAAACCCTTGATAATTTATAAATTATTACTATTTTTTCACGTCTTACACTGTCCGACGCCTGCCTTCACCCACTTTCTGTTGTCTGTTCTCTAGGGAGGGGGTTATATGTAGATCATTGTGATTGGTTCCCCATTTCCACCCCACCTTCCCCTTCCCTTTCTGGTATTGCTACTCATTATTGGCCCTGAGGAGTTTATCTGTCCTGGATCCCTGTGTTTCCAGTTCCTATCTGTACCAGTGTATGTCCTCTGATCTCGCCAGATTTGTAAGGTAGAATTGGGATCATGATGGGGGTTGGCAGCATTTAAGAACTAGAGGAAAGTTGTGTTTCTTGTTGCTACATTGCACCCTGACTGGCTCATCGCCTCCCTGCGACCCTTCTGTAAGGGGATGTCCAGTTGTCTACAGATGGGCTTTGAGTCCCCACTCCTCACTCCCCCTCATTCACAATGATAGGACTTTTTGTTTTTTGACGTCTGATACCTGATCCCTTCGAGACCTCGTGATCACACAGGCTGCTGTGCCTCTTCCATGTGGGCTTTGTTGCTTCTCAGCTAGATGGCCACTTATTTATCTTTAAGATCCCAGACACTATCTCTTTTGACAGCCAGGCACCATCAGCTTTCTTCACATTTGCTTATGCCCCCGCTTTGTCTTCAGTGATCGTGTCGGGAAGGTGAGCATCAGGAACCAGGCTGTTTTTTTCTGAGAGTAGTTTCCTCTTGCCAGCCCCCTCCCTCCTCGGGCCTGCTCCTGTGCTCACGCTGTGTCCTTAGGGGCGCTTCTAGGACTTGGGCTGTGCAGCACAGGTTGACATGCGCCGTGCTCAGTGCCGCTGCTGGGCGTTTCCTGCAGCCTCTGGCCCTACACCTGTGCCCACATTGCCTTTCAGCCCTGAACCGCGTGCAGCTCCTCGGCCGAGTGGGCCAGGACCCGGTCATGAGGCAGGTGGAAGGGAAAAACCCAGTCACCATCTTTTCCCTGGCGACGAACGAGATGTGGAGGTCGGGGGAGAGTGAAGTGTACCAAATGGGTGAGTGCCGGGGGCGGAGCCCCGCCCCTCTGGGAGCCCGAACCTCACCCACCTGCTGCCATCAGGTTAATTTCAACCAGTAGTGACCCCATATGTTGGGTGACTGAAAATGACTATTCTTATGGGTCCGACAGCCTCGACTTCCTCCTGTGGAGGAAGCTGCTGGTGGATTTGAACCACTGACCGTGAGGTGAGCAACTGAGTGTGGCTCCAGGGGTCCCTTCCCTCTGTGATGGTCGAAGCTGCTTACTGGGGGCAGACTGTGATATCGGCTCACATTGTGACCACGCCTCCATCCCTGTGGCTAGGAGACGTCAGTCAGAAGACCACGTGGCACCGCATCTCCGTCTTCCGGCCAGGCCTCCGGGACGTGGCGTACCAGTATGTGAAGAAAGGGTAAGTGGGTGTCTCGTGGGGTGAGCAGGGATGTCATCAGTCTGCATCAGCTCAGGGCTGTGCCACTAGCTGTGTGAGCTGCTCAGAACACGGATATGCGTAGCAGCCACTGCTGCTCCGTGCAGCCCGCTGGGTGCACAGAGGCCTGATGTCCGGCAGAAGCAGACCCTGCCGGGTCCTGTGCCAGCCTCGTGGCCCTTATGCTTGAGCCCGTTGTGGCGGCCACCGTGCCCGTCCATCT